AACTAGAGTAGATAGGAAAGGGCCGATCACACCCTGTGATCACTTTAGATGCCTTGAGCCACAAGCCAGGCAGGTGACGATGGGGGGTGGGGGGGGGAGCAGTTAAAAATCAAACACAACATTCAGGTTTTACCTGGATTGATTTTTAATAGATGAAAAAGACCCGAAAGTCAGAGAGATTGTCCATGATGTGAAGAAACACACAAAGCAAAATATGCAGTGATTAGAAAAAAAAACAAAAACTTGATGAAACTGAGCCCCATGGAACTGAGCCTGCTCAAGAACAGCTAATTCTCATAGTCTTGCCATGGGCCAGAAGCTCTGCTAAGCATTTCACTAATCGTTACTCACTCAGGCCTATGAGGGAGACACTATCATCATCATCATCATCATCCCTGTTTTACCGAGGAGGAAACAGAGACACGGAGAAATTAAGCAGTTTGCCCAAGGACATAACAAGAGCTGCTCTTTGAATTTAGATCTGGTTCCTAAGTCCAGGGTTCTAACCACTAAGCCATACTGCCTTGCCAACCATCACTTTCCTAGGCCATTCTCTTCTGGTGTGGTTTTCCCACTTGGGTCTTTTGAAGCTGATGTTTCTTCTTTCTTTCTTTTTTTTAAAAGGACTTTTTAAAGATTTATTTATTTATGCATACAAGAACTGGGGCATAGGCCAGAGGTGCAGGGGGTGAGAGGATTCACCCAAGACAGAGTGGGGAGCAGAACAGGCAGAGTGACTGAAATACACTGCTGAGGGGAGCAGCAGGCGAGACAGGAGAGGTCTGCTGCGCCATGTGGGTTGCTCCCTGGCAGGCCGGGGATCGAACTCATGCTGCAGAGGCTGTGGATAGCTTCATAGTGCTGAGAACTTAACCCCTTGCGCCACCAGGGAGGCCCTGAAGCTGATGTTTCTATTCCTTCTATACTGTTCATGGTTAAACTCAATGCCTGGAGGACAGGGATACAGGTTGTAATAGTTTAAAACGAGGGACTAGACTCACATTTCTAAAATGACATTTTCCCAAATGGCATGAACTTTAAATGAAAACAAGTAATACCTGATAGTCTGACGTAAGGTCTGAGAAGGGCCAAGGATTAACTAATACTCACCTCTTCCTACAAACACTACACATTTACACGTCGATTTGATTCTTATTATTTTCTCCTAGATTTTGATTGCATTAGAAGGTATAGGTTGAGATGAGCATTTCATAAATACTTTTTTTTTTTAATTTTTTTTTATAGAGGCATGTTTATTTATTTATTTATTTGTTTGTTCTGTTTACACATGCACTGGGCACAGTCAGAAGCGCGGGAGGGTGAGAGAATTCACCAGAGCCAGAGCGGGGAGCAGAGCAGCAGAAGGACCGAAGGACACTGCTGAGGGGAGCAGCGGGCGGCAGGAGAGGTCTGCGCGCCATGTGGGACCCTCCTCCGGTGGCCGGGGAGCAGCCGGGATCGAGCCGGGGATCGAGCCGGCGCTGCAGAGGCTGAGGGCAGCTTCGCAACCCAGCGCTCAACCGCTGCGCCACCGGGGAGGCCCCATAAATACTTTTTGACAGTGCTTAGAGGCTCATTTACTCTTCTAGAGTTGTCCCACATCTATCCAGGATAAAAACATCTTACATCTTGCTGACCACTTATTTATTTATTGTTGGGACCCGTGAGCTATAACATCTGTGGCAGGACACTTCTGAGTCATCTATCAGGAACTCTAATTCAGACTGTCTTCAATGCAAAGAAAAGGCAGAATTTGTTTAAGGAAGCAACTCAGTTTTTTCCTTTTATTTTTTATTTTATTTTTTTTAAAGATTTATATATGTGTACAAGAACTGGGGTACAGGCCAGAGGTATAGGGGGTGAGGGGAGTCACCAGAGATAGAGTGGGGAATGGAACAGGCGGATTTACTGAAATACACTGCTGGGGGGAGCAGCAGGCGAGACAGGAGAGGTCTGCTGCGCCATGTGGGTAGCTCCCTGGCGGGGGATCGAACTCGTGCTTCAGTGGCTGCGGCTAGCTTCATAGGTTACATTTCAACCCCTTGCGCCACCAGGGAGGCCAGTTTTTTCCTTTTATTTCCAACTCTGTCTTACTTAGTGTAGAGGCTTTGACCAAAGGCTGGTTGTCTTTCTAGTCATCAGATGGCTGCCAGTGGGAACCAGCATACTTGCTTCTTTGTTCATCCAGCAGGATAGACAGGGAAAGCTTCTCTCCCAAACCAAGGCATGTTATGTGTTTTCCTTTAGTCTAATTGGGTCACACATTGGTTAACTAAGGCTAATCAGCACCCACTGCTCAGGAAGTGCAGATGGAGTGGATACCTGAGCACAGTTAGGGTTCTATTAGGAAACAGGAGCAAACAGATGCTGAGGCGGCTCTGAAATTGTTGTTTCCTCTGGAAAATGGTGACCTAACAGAGAATCTGGCAGAGAGTCATCAGACTCAGAGATGATGTATGTAGGATTGCCAGATTTAGCAAATAAAAATAGAGAATGCCTAGTTAAGTTTGAAATTCAGATAAACTGCAAATAATTTTTATTTATTTTTTTTAAAGATTAATTTATTTTTATATAAGAATCGGGGTACAGGCCAGATGTGCTGGAGGGTGAGAGGATTCACCTGAGACAGAGCAGGGAATAGAACAAGGCAGATTGACCGAAGTACACTGCTGAGGGGAGCAGCAGGCGAGTCAGGAGAGGTCTGCTGCACCATGTGGGTTGCTCCCTGGCCGCGGGGATTGAACTCATGCTGCAGAGGCTGCAGACTGCTTCATAGTGCGGTGCTTAACCCCTTGTGCCACCAGGGAGGCCCCTGCAAATAATTTCTTAGTGTAAGTATATGCATCTCTTTCTACACACACTACAAATTTACCCATTGATTTGGTTCTTAGTTTTTCCTCCCAAATCCTGATTGAATTATGAGGTCTGGGGCCCAGAGAGACATTTTGAGAAAAAAATTTTTTTGAGAATGATTAGAAAACTTATTTAGTCTCCTACCCTTATGCTGCAAGTATCCAGGATACAAATACATACTTATACTAAAAATTATTCATTGTTTATCTGAAATTCAAATTTCATGGGCCTCCTGTATTTTATCTGGCAACTATTAATGTATGTCAAGTTCTTGGCACAGAGCAGGCATTCATTCAGTGCTATATATTAATGTGCGTTCTACATAAGGAAAGAGCTCGGTTAAATCGAAGCATGGGACTTGTGAACTCTTAGTAACCTTCTAGAAAATATATGATTTCAATCAAAATTGCAATTAACTCCCTCACTACTCAAAACCAGATGAAAACAAACATCCCAAAGTGGACCTGTATCAACAGATATTCAGGTATTGGCCTTACCTTATCTTGTTAGGATTCTACACAGATAAATCATTCTTCATTCGATTTAAAGGTAATGCTGCTGCAATTCCTGGGACAAAGGCAGCGACACACTGGGATAAAAATGGAGCCATTGCCCCAGGAATTCTGGCTCCAAGTGGGTGAAAGTTGAGGTCACAGCACTGTTACTTTGCATCTGGAGGAGGCAGGAGACTCAGCAAAGCTCTCAGCCCTTGCCTCTGACTCCATTTTCCCTCACTGCTAATCCACTGTTCCTAGCTGTAAAATTTTCTAATATGCTTCCTGAAAAAAAGCTGAAGGGAAAACCAGCATCTTCATTTCCTCATCAAATATTCACCATGTTAAGAAAAGAAAACCCTATTGGCTTAGCACGGAGTGGCCAAACCCAGCATATTGCTACATATTGTTACCATATTCAAGACAGGAATAGATGAAGTGGATTTTATCCAAGTTATCTATTTCCCATTACAGTACTGCATATTTCTAATTTGGTGGCTGCTATGACCTCATGCAGTCTATTTTCTGTGCTTTTCCTAAAAACCAGGAAAAAAAACACCACCCTGTTTTTCCGTCTTTGTTTTCTTAAGTGGATTTGCATAGGTCGATCCACAATGTGTTTACATTTTTTTTCTTAATTTTCAAAAAGTGGCATTGGAATGGTATCTCCTTCCATTTCATCACCTCTTCATCCTCATTGGAAACCTGCTCCATGACGGGTATTAAGATCTTTACATTTCTGTTGGTTGGGCGATGACTTCATTGCTTTCATGCCGACTGGGGAATCTTGTGTGGCGGAGCATTGGACCCAAGCGGAGCTATAGGTCGCTGCCGCGGCCGCCAGCTAGCATCTAACAGCCGTTTGCTTGCTTCCAGCTGCGGGGTCGGGAAGGCTTAGGCTACTAGTTCTTTGCTCCTGATTCACCCGAGGGATCGCAAGCTGAGGGATCAGTGGACGTGCGAATGTGTGTGCATGTGTGCGTATACATGCATGTGTGTGTGCACGCGTAGCGGCAACAGTTGGGCAGCAGAAGCAATGGATCGCAATATCATTTTTACCAACGACAGAGATAACTGTCTTCCGTCCTTTATTTCCAAGAAGTGCCTCCGCTGCCGTCCCGAATGTGCTCTTCCTCACTTCCCCGACCCCCCCCTCCCCCTCCCGCACGAGTCCCGACGGAGGGAGGCAGGATAGCTGCGCCGCAGGCAGGATTCCCCCTTTTTTTCCGCAGTGACAGGCGGACTCCCGGGCCGCCTCGGTCCCGCATCCCTGCAGCCGCCCCATTCCCAGTCACGATCTCCGCCCCCCCTCCCCGGCAGCTCGCGTCTCGGGCCCCGCCCATCCCGCCGCCCGGCCCAGGTTGCTAGGCCTGGCGGGGCAACCAAACCTGGAGCGCGTGGAGGCGCGTGCGCGCGCAGGCGGGCTCGCTACAAGGGACCAGGGGTCCTCGGCTTCGGGGATCCGGGCACGAGCGGCGCGGGCGGGGCGCGCGAGCCCGAGAGCAGGACCAGCGGCCCTTCCACATTGGCTCCCGCGGAAGTGGGCGGGGCATGGGCGGGACCTGGCGGGGCCCGAGGCGCTTCTCCATTGGCCCGCGCGGGCCGGCCGGGGCGGGGCAGTTAGCAAATTAGGCTGCGCGTTCGCCCCTGCGAGAGGGCGGGGCCGGAGGTTTCGGTTAGTTGTCGCTGCCGCTGGGGAAGGTGAAGCGGCGACGGCGGCTCTGGAGCTCTGGGGTCCCCGGCTGGAGGTGGGGAACTCGGCGCGGTGAGTAGTCGCGCCGCCACCCTCCCGCCACACCTTCTGGCCCTCACGTCGGTCCCGCGCCCACTCAGCTGCTTTCTCCCGAGAGGGGACCCACCCGATCCCCCGGGCAGGCGGGAGAAGGGGCGGCGGCACCGGTCCCCCCAAACGGGGAGAAGCTGCGAGCGCGCCCCAGCCTGGAGTGGCCCCTCCTCAGGGGCTCAGCGAGGCGCTGCAAGGGCTCCCTGCAGAGGGACTGGGTCTGTATTTTGGGGTGTGGGGAAACCGATGGGTGTGAGGTGGGGCGGCGGATCGAGGCCGCCCCGCGGGGTTCCCCTCGGCAGCGGGTCTGCGGCGTCCCCGCCCCGCCGCCCCCGCAGCGCGAGCTCCCCGGGCTTGCGGCGAGGGAAGCCCTTCCCGCCGGCGCCGAGGAGGAGCCTGCGCCGAGGAGCCCCCAGCCGGAGTGGCGAGGAAGCCCGGGACCCGGGACCCGCCGCGGACTGCCAGTCGCTTCCCCGGCCCTGCTGACCTTGGTTGCCCGCGAGGGTGGGCGAGGGACTCACCGCCCGCCCCGCGGCACCTTCAACCTCCCGGAACAAGTTTCCGCCGTTGCCATGAAGTTCACGACTGGCAGAGTGGGGCGCAGTAGAAATTGGCCCCTCACCACACCGTCGTACCCTCTGGACCCTGGTAGAAATGAAATCCGGGGCTTGGGCACTCTCTCCCAGAACGAGCAGGTCCTGCTGGCGTTGACACGTTTTGAGCCCACGTTGGGGGGAAAAAAGAACCTGAACACATTTCAGTGTAAAGGCGGCTCTTCCTTGAGGGTTTTGTTTTTTTTTCCGCCTCACATGAGTGTTCAAGCACAGATGCCCGAGCGAGGAAAGCCTGAGCTCAGTATCTTCGCCGCGAGCTTAGACGGATGCTGTGATATTTAAGTAGTTGCAGATCAGTGTTCTGTTAACACAATCTATTTTAATTAGCTGAAATTTAAGCTGATTTCAGAAAGTCTTGCAGACACAAAATAATTTCTTCCCTTGCATCCGAATTAGGTTTGTTTGGACATAACGGTTCTGTAGTTAATGTAAAAGATTACACAAATTAATTTGCCTGACAGCATTTGACTGAAATAGGAGACATTAATGTGTATAGAATAGGATTATTGTTTCAGGTAACATCTGCTGGAACATTTCCAGCTTGTTCCTTTCTTGCCAGAGGGTTGCAGAAAAGACATCTTTACCCAGGCTATACGGAATTTATAGGTGAATGACATTTAGAGGCAAATTTGTTTTTAATTCCTGTAAGCATTTAAAAATATTTTATTCATAAAATGTGAAGAACCTATGTTTACCTTGTTCCTCTATATTTATATTTAGTGTTGGGGGGGGTGTGTGGTATAATCTGATATTTGACAACTCAATTAGCGTTCATTAATATTTTTTTTAAAGGTGTGCCTCTTTTTGAGAAAATGATAGTCGAGTACCTTAGCGAGCCTTTCCATTTCTTTATTAAAAGTGCTATTTTCGGTTTCAGCATTTTTGGCGTTGACACTGGAACAGGAGTAAGGAAGCCTGCAGCAGTATTACCAGTTTGACACCACCAGTGGGTGTTTCTGTTGACAAATGCAGAGAAGAGAACATTTGGGAAGGAAATCTTTTTTTTTTTTTTTCCTGGGGTGGAGGGTGGGGGGTGTTGGGGATAAGTGAGAGGGGAAGGAGCTAGAAGAGAACTGTAGAACTAAAGCTGCCAGCACAGTGTATGCTGAGCATTTCACAAGTACAAGGAAACCTAATTAGGAAAAATAATTCAGTTTGGCTGTATTAAATGATAGAATTCTGAGAGGGCATGTTAAATAAAAAGAATCATTCCA